TAAAAAACTACTACCTAAGGTACTCACCGGATGCAGCCTTCCTATGCGTCGTCCCCTACACCCGGGACGCCGATCCCCCATCCCGCGCTGTTGGCTGGGATCTTAACGACGATCAGTAGGCGGTCGCTCGCTGTACGCACAAGTCCCCTCGGCGTGCGTACGGAACCTATTCCACGTGTCGATCATCTGGCGTGGTCTAGCCAGTGGGGGAGTTCCGTAGCTCAGGAAGTCTGAGTTCGCTGGTTCGTATCACGGCAAATAGTTTTTGTTGCGTTACCCAGCATGGCTAACGTAGCTTCACTTGCGTATAGATGACGCCGATCTTGTCTCACAGGCGCAATTCTCGTATATTACTAGCGGAATTCTACTGATATGCCGTGAATTATACCTGTCGTCAGCAGGTCTTCTCTCTATGCCGGTAGCCCTATCTCCACAAACGGGCGTAGGTAGTAAACGTACAACGTCAGAAGCTCTGCACATAGTATTCTTGCTTAATCTGTGACAAGTTAACTCCGAGGTCTTTAGCCTCTCCCCTCTCCCATATCCTACGCCATCCGTCCGAACGTCATTATTCTATTCTATATTTTGAGGGGGAATAGAGGTAGATTCTATAGCCCCCGTTACCGCCAACTAGTAGAGGGTCTCCAAGCCAGCGCTGATTATCACGTAGCATTATGCCGGGATTTGCATTCAGCCACGCTGAAACGACTGCCGTGTACGTTTTTCCTTATCGCGCGCGATCGTGGAAACCGGCGTGAGAGGAATTGCTGCCACCGGTCAGTCAGTTAGAAGCCTAACAAGCCAGCCAGCCAGCGACTGGACTGGGCATAGGGTGGACGAAACACGTACACAAGCGAGCTGCACTCGATAAATGTGCCCAAGCCTAAAGATGAGAAACAATATGCCACCGAATCACACCTCGTACCTATGTATCTCTAATTCGAGCGGCTATAAAGTCTTTCACGGGCCAATCTGGCGGCTACTTGGCAAATAAGCCGGATTTGACATACCTATGTAGAGCTGTCGAAGACGATTCTATTTCCTGATATAGATATGCCGTATTCCTTCGAGAGCTGCTCCTCGTAGCCAATTATTATAAATGACTTCGCGCAGATGATGGAACAACCGGCGACGAGAGCGGGGCTTGGCAGACATGGCTCTGTTTGTAACCCTAAAAACCTGGCAGGATGCTATTATATCTTGGGCTTCAGGCGTTGTCATACTCTAAAAGTAGGCTGAAATAGCGAGCTTATTCGATGGCTGCGTCCAGCGGTTCGCTCAGCAGCATGTACTTTGAGTGACCTATGCAAGAGAGGTAAAAAGCCACCGACGATATGTGTTATTACCTACCTGATGGTTCGACTCAGCTTCAAAACAGCCACTTCCTTTCGAGCGAATACCATACCAGCATTACCGGTCCTGACATATCTCATGACTGCGGGGACTGCGTATGCTACGCTCGCCTATGAACCTTTCTAGACCAGAGCTGATGGATGAAGCCGTATTACCATGGAGCCTAGACCACCGACATTATTTCATGATAGAAAGATTATAAATTCTCATAGTCGTAGGGGCTGTCATTGTGAATGCATGGCAGCTCTAGTGGATAGAATCACGGTATAGACATTCTAGTCTTGATACTGCAACCAGCATAGTGTATTGGCAATGACCATTTAAACTACAAGGCGGGACACCTACATAGATGCTTACCTACATAACAACTGCTCTCTCTTACAGGGACTCCCCGGCTTAGATTAGTCAACTGATCCATCCCATTCTTGAACCTCATCCCACCGCTATTGTCTGTATCACCACCACACACCCGGACTGAAGGTGACGGACCACGTAGGTATTTACACGTAGACTGCAGATTCGTCAGCATTAGATTCCGGGTATTGCTAAGTCCCCGTCAGCTCCACGGGCCGCCCCCTGTGCTGAACTTCCCGTCGGGGCTTCATACCCTTAAGGGCTTAGCAAACGCCTCAGTAGCAAACGCGATAGCCGGGGGAAGGGATAATGGTGTGCCTACACTATACGTCAACAATATGGAAGGATACGATACCCGGGTAGCTGGCTGAAAGATCGTCTCGCTGCAGAGATACATGTGCAGGAACAGTGGTGTGCACACATCGCGGGTCCTTGCGGTTGTCGCGAGGCAGGCATGCGACGGATTCATGGCGTAAATATACCAACATCCGAACATAGAGCCCTATCCGCAAGCAACGAACCGTCGTCGAAATAGCTTATAGAACATTTTATAAAACAATAGAATTCGATTATTATGTGTCCAAACTCTACTTGTTCACCTAATGCAACCCCGTTTCTATGCATCTAGCTTTAGTCTCTCTAGCATTCTATCGATCTTCTGCAGTAGAAGCTGGTAGTTGATAGCATCGGACGCAAACTCATCTTCGACGAGCTCTCCATCGAGGGTTCTAACCACACCAGCTGGGCTTGTCAAGGCCTCTGCTATATCAGCCTTTGCAGAAATGGGATCGGGATTTTCTACTTCAACGATGCTCTTCGTGTCCTTGTCTTCCGCGGCAACGTCGTTTGCCTGCGCGGCTAGCACTTCCGCTGCTAGCCCTTGCGCTGCTAGCACTTCCGCTGCTTCCGCGCTGATCTCGCCGTTCTCATCCATCATCTCGTCTAGCCCGGCGTCCTCAAACCGCAACCTAAAACGCTCGGATAGGTAATACCGAATATCATCCAGCAACTCGATCGTATCCGTTTCTTCTCGGGTCTTGAGTCTCGAAGCGCTTTCCTGGATCAGCTCGGTAAACTCTTCCTCGTCGATGTAGTCTTCTAGCCGATACGCGAGATACCGAGCGGCGAACTCTTCCAATCGCTGAACCCTCAAGTCCCAGGCAGCATGTATAACATCATATACGTTAATGGGCTCAACCTCTATTTCACTAGTTTCGCCGCCTTCGTGAGTATGCGTCCGATCGACTAGGACGTTGTTGTTGCCACTTCCTAATGTGCTAATGGCTACCGCGGCCTTGTTTTTCAACTTGTCCAGGAATAACATATCGGACGCATAAAGCAGATCAAGCCCGAGTTCAAGAGGACATTCGGACTTCTCGGTATAAAGGAATGTTAGGATGAGTTCGAGGATCTCGGGTCGACAATCTATTTTGATGATATGTAGGTGCTCTGATGTTTGGGCCTCGCGAAACTGACTGGAAAACATGGTCTCGAAATATGGCGAACGAATGAGCATGGCCTTATGCGCAGGATATAAAACAGATCTCCTAACTTTCTTCGTGTCATTGTGCTTCCGTGATTCACCACCCGCACCCGGGCCAATGGGAATGCCGTTTGATTCTTCTTGTTTGTCAGAATCCTCGTCTTCTTCTCCTTCCTCATCAGCTCGCAGGAGACAATCCGCAAATATAGAGTTATCGTGCGGCCATTTGACTTCGTGGGCCTTCCGGGTGTCAACAACAATCTTGTGCCCAAGGACCTTCTCTTGAAAGAAGTCTTGGATTTGTTCTTGAGCTCGATTAACTTCATCCTGATGCCTCTGTCGCGCCAATCGCCGATCACTACCCGAAAGGATAGCTTCCCATAGCTTATCGATCTCTAACTGTTTACTGATCTTATCAATACCAGTTAGGACCTCTTCCTCGGTGCTGCCACCTCGGGAGTCAACTAACTCCCTTGGAATATCACCGAGGTATATATATCGCAAGACGATCCGAAAAGACTCAATTGGTATTGACTGGGGCAGCTTCCACGTCTCTATCTCGGGCGCCTCTGCGAGTTTCCTTTGGAAGTATGGTGACCTGGCAGAAAGAAGGAACTTATGAAGTTCGAACGATTCCGATGCTGCTATCAACGTTATATCGGAAGTCTTGGGCGTGTCCCTAGTCAGCAACGCGCTGATATGGGCGGCCCATGGCTGCAAGGGGTCGGTAGACTTTGAGTAGTCGTATTTCAGCAGCAGATTCCGAATCTTGTCGTTTAGAGCATTGTAGATGCATCGTTCTCCTTGGAACGTGTCTCGCTCTGCTAAAGCGCCAGACTCGACTACAATATTTGGAGTCAGTAAAAGTTTCAAGAATATTTCAACACTTGATAGATATCTCGATAACCATAGTATATAGGATCGGATACATACTAAGCAGCTCAACCAACTCATAATGCCCGCAGAGACTTGCCTAGACATCAGTCAGCTACCTATGATCTTCAAGCACAATAAACAGGAAGACAAGTCCTACTCACAACGATAAGAGGAGTATAATCGAATTTGTCTTTGCCGTTTATATTGACGCCGGCAGAAATCAGTTCTTGAGTTCGCCTCAGATCACCTCTTCGACATGCTTCTAAGAGCTCGCTAAACTCCTGGCTGAGATCCAGGGGATTCTCATCTCGCAGTACGCCACTACGAACTAATTCGATATCATCTTTCAGCTTTGCTTCTAGCTCGTGCTTTCGAAGAACCATGGTTGACCAAAACACAACGATAGTATCGAGTGAATTTTCAAAGAATGGTCAAGTCCGATAACTCCGACCACACAACCGGTGATTGTTGATGCATAGTTAATTGGTAGGTAGCTGATTATGTAGTAATTGGACAAAAGTTACAAAATGCCATTGATTCAATTGGATAAGCTAGATAAGTCAGATGTATGTCATCAGCAGCGATATGGAAGCGGGAAGCGCGAATCGGGAATCGGGAATATCACGTGTTAGATGGGTTAAAATACATCCAATCACAGATTCAGTCAGATATGTATGTACAAAGTATGAAGTATGTAATCCGCGAATGCATGTAACTGTGCTTATCGATAAAGGTCTGACGCGATGCTAAGACTAATTCTAACTAGCAGTTAATAGAGTTCGACCATATACCCTGTAGCCCCACCCTGAGCTAAGCAGTTGCCGTGGCCACGGGTGGATTTGTTGACTGCATACACGCAATGTTACATAAGATACAAAAACTGTCATAGAAATTAGCACAGGGCTCAAGTATCTACTGGGGTGTCCTGTGCAATTGATCGGATCCATCACAAGGACAGCCATTTTCTGATTTTCTGCCCTTGCCTTTGCAGTTTCCAGAACCATTTCCAGAACCAAATTCTTTATTCAACAACAAGTAGTAAGATAATCCTCCAAGGTATCCAAGATAATCCCCTCCCCCCCAAGTCCCAAGCTGGAGCAGCATCGAATAGGTAGCTCTGGCTTACCCCCTTCAATCCCTCCAATAGTGTTGTCTTCAACTTCTTTAGCTTCTTTCTTGCTTTTGTTGTCTATGGCATAGTCATAAATCATTGAATTCGAAAAGCGGCTCGCAATTCAGTTCACTATGGCAGAATCTATCAGTTCGCAGTACGAAACCCTGGAGAAAATAGGTAGGTGTCTATTTGGTCTATTTGTTACCTTGTTACCTTTGACTAAGCTGTCATCCCCTTCATTCTTATTTCCATGGCCGCGCTCTAACATTGCCAACGTAGGACATGGCTCCTTCGGCGTCATTCGAAAGATCCGACGGAAGTCAGATGGCAAGATCCTCTGCCGAAAGGAGATCAGCTACTTGAAAATGTCGCAAAAGGAACGTGAACAGCTACATGCTGAGTTCCAGATCCTCTCTACTCTCCGACACCCCAACATTGTTGGCTACTATCATCGCGAACATCTCAAAGAGACTCAAGACCTGTATCTTTACATGGAATATTGTGGTAATGGCGATCTCGGTCGGGTGATTAAGGGTCTCGCCAATCGCAAGGAGTACGCCGAGGAGCAATTCGTATGGGAGATATTCTCACAGCTAGTCACTGCCTTGTACCGATGTCACTACGGCGTAAATCCTCCGGCGGTAAGCAAGAATGTCCTTGACATAGTGACGATGGGGAAAACAAAAGCTCCGCAGGGAGCTGTCACAATTCTCCACCGAGATCTGAAGCCCGAGAACGGTGCGTGAGCTGGAGATGTGTAATTCGTTATAGGAGGTATGTGCTAACCTGTGGTAGTCTTCCTCGGAGAGAACAATTCCGTCAAGCTCGGTGACTTTGGTCTATCCAAGATGATACAATCGCACGATTTTGCGTCCACATATGTTGGAACGCCTTTCTACATGTCTCCCGAGATATGCGCCGCTGAGAGGTATACTCTTAAGTCAGACATCTGGTCACTAGGATGCATAATATACGAACTCTGCGCGCGTGAGCCCCCATTTAACGCCAAGACTCACTTTCAACTCGTTCAGAAGATCAAGGAAGGAAAGGTCCCACCGCTTCCAAGAGTTTACTCGGGGGAGCTTATGGCCGTTATCAAAGACTGTCTCAGGGTCAATCCAGATCATCGCCCTGACACGGCAACCTTGCTCAACCTTCCGATCATACGCTTGATGCGTAAAGAGCGAGAGGCTGTAGAAGCCAAGATAGAGTTAGAATCACGCAACAACATGCTCAACAATAAGCTAAAGCAAGTCGAAGAGAAGCTAGCCAACATCGAGGCCGATAAGTTGAACTACCGACAAGAGATCGACTCTCAGTTGCGACGAGAGTGGGAGGTCAAGGCTCGATTAGAAATCGACCGCCTTGTCAATGAAGAGATAGAACAACTCCGACGACGTTTCGAAGCCGAGGTAGACGCGCGGGTACAAGAAGAACTACAAAAGAAAAGGGTCTCGTTCGGACCGGTCGAGACTCATGAATTTACATCATCTCAAGTATCCAGGACGAATTTCTTCCTGTCCATGGCTGGTAGTACGGACAGCGAGTTTCCCTCCACTACAGATATTACCGAATTTTCTGTTAACTCTCCCGAAGAACACCCTCTTAAGCGCAGCACACGGGCGCCGTTTGCCCGCGCTCAGACTATGTTCGAGCGCAATCCCGGAACGCCAATGTCGATGGACATCGACATGGCATCCCCATCCCCAATGGTTGCTATTGCATCCCTGTCCCTATCCCCACGACGAAATATCGCTACTAAGGCCCCAACCGCAAACAAGCCACCCATATTTGACTTTGAAGATGAAGAAGAGATCCGATCAGGTAGGAGAGATCCGTTCTCATCTGATTCGGATGACGACGACGATCATGTAATCCCATCCCCGACTCGCCCACCGCGGACGAATAAGAATCCCTTCGGCCCCCAACGTCCAATTCTTCCTTCAACGAAATCGGCTCCTATCAACCGTCTAAGAAACCAAACCACCACGGCTCTTAACAAGCCAAACCCTCCTCTAACTACCTCTGCTCCCGAGTTCCGAATCCGGGCTAAGCCTAGCAATGGTGCTTTGAGGGAAAAGGGCGATTCTCCTAACCGACGGCTCAGCAAAATCCCCTCGGTCGCCAATCTTAGCATGCAAAATGCGGAGAACGGTGGACAACGCAAATCCTCGCTTAAGAAGGAACCAGAACCAGCGCCCACCAAGGTAGTAACAAAGAACAACATCAAGGGCCGCACTCTTGTTGAGCTCCAGCAGGCTAGAGCCGGCGGTCGACCAGTCGAGTCTGTGAACGTTAGCCCCAAGCGCAGTTCCAAAGATCGATTCGCTGAGCCCGCCGTTTGGGATCCGGAGAGGGACGAGATGCCGAGCCCGTTCCTAGCTCGGAAGAAGCAGCCGTCCAGGGTATAGTCTACCTGGTAACGAAAGAAGAAACCACGCTCTCCTCATCCTCCCTTTTCTCCGGGTTAATGTACCAACGTAAACGAGTCCCATGATGATATACCACCACCCGGCTTGACACAGCGTCGCTTTGTCGAACCTCTTACTTTTTTTTTCTTTTGTTCATATTCCAGAGGGTGGCTAATTCGGAAAGGTGTCCGGAGGTAATGATGACGTTTCGGTGTCACAAAGCATAATCGCGTCGTTGAGAATTGGCATGGCATGGCTGGTTACAGAACAGGCGTTTCGATACAGAGGAGAAAGCTTCGTTTTATGAGTTTTTTTTTATCTTTTATTCTTTTCCGGCGTACTTGGCTGAATTGAGGACCGGCAGATCCCTCAGGCATAACCTGTGTATAACTCGTTTGCGAAATGTCATTTTATGCTTTTATGAATCCTCACTAATGCTAGAAAACTTAAAGACAGAGCTGGCGCGATGCTATTGCTCGTCGCTATTATTCGATATCGTCTGCTTCGATACCGGATGATGCCGTCCCTTGCTCGGATACACGTTTGGAGTAAGGGGAGGTGTGTACCCGGTATTAAGCGGACTAGTTATGACTTATGATTATTTAAGTGTATTTATCTATTCATTGCGTTCGTTGTCTAGGTAGTAAATATGTACTACGCGTTGCCACTAAAGAGTGTCTTCGGGCCTGTTTTTGTTTGCACTGGCCCTTACTAGTGACTCGTCAAATATACTTTCTTCAGCTAACCCCCAACCCTTAGGTTGCTCGTGAAGCACGAAGTAGCAGCTAACCGAATAACTAGAACTCGCTGGTAGGTAGAATATGCTGTGTCCCCAATTCTAGCTTAGGGACTTGCCCCTTGCGTACTGAGAAGTCTATGGATATCAAAGTTGATATGGACTCGAGCCCCTATACGACCAAACCCTCAAACCAGTGTAGTGCCCCATTCAGTCGCAGAAGTAAAGGAATTCGCCGTCCTCTTCGGTAGGCTGATTTGCTGTCATGCAATCCTCTAGTTGATGTTAGCTTCTAGTAATATAATACCAACTGCTAATAAGTCATGAGGGTCCCGCCCACCACCTCGCCATCAGGAGATCAGTGGCTGAAAGCAAACTCACCACGTTGTTTGTCGCAGTCTTGCACGCTGAAGGCCTTGTTGCTGTTCTGGTTGGCAGTGTCGGCGCAGGCGTTCTTTAGGTCGTCGCAGACGCGGTTTGAGGCGGTGCTGAAGTCGTTCTGTTAGACGGTTAGTGGATGTTGGGTAGCCTAAGTTATCTTGGTTAAGGGGGGTGTTTGGTTTGTTACTAATAAACCAAGGGATAGAGAGGGTGGATAATAAGATTCTCATTTCACGGCCATGCCCTGCGAGGAGATGGAGAAGAGTACGGATAGTGACATACAAACGTCTGGCCTTCTGATATGCTGCTGTTGGTGATTTTGAAAGGCTTCTCTGTATTGCTTTTGTCGAACTCTATCTATAGATGCGTTGTCAGCTATAGATTAACTCTATACTGCTAATTTACCCGTTCGTATATACGTTCTCTACTCCTCCTGTATACATCGAGACGAATGGACCGTACGTACCTTCGCTGGAGTCTTGCCTCCTAGAGGACTGCTCGGGCTAAATTGCTACATGTATAATGTCAGACACAACGAACTGAACTGAACTGAACAGAACAGTATAATAACTCTAAATCATAGAGTCGCCGCGTAGCCACGAACCTGTATATCAGATATCGCCTGCCGCCCGAATAAGCCCGTTCGGAAATCCCGTCGCATCTCCTCGATCAAGTCGCCGGCCATGACTCCGACGAGGAATCCCGCCAGCAGAGACGAGGTAACAGCGCCTCGGCACCTCATGACTTGGCCGTGCTCTCGGTGCGCTCTTATTTCCGAATCTCGTATAACTAATAAAATTGCGTCGTTCGGAATAATCGACCGGGAAAGGATAGGCAATAGATAAATAAATAAATAGGTAAATAATACCACTACGGAAAACGAGACGAAATCTCTTCGATAAGATTATTTTTCGTTAGTTAGTTACCTCTTATACCTATCGTACACACCCATTCGCTCGCCACACAGACAGATATATGTAGGAGGTAGTTATTATCAAACAGTCCATCCTCTCAAGAACTTGTCTCTGCAAAGCGCAAAGCACGTAGGTATATAACATAAGTGCTTCATAACACTCACGAGATAATCAGTTGAAACACGGAAAGCTCGAGTCGACTAAGACGGTTGATTGGTCCGAGTGATACCTGAGGTGGACGGATTCGCAGATGGCGCTGCTGAAACCATCCTGAGACGGCACTAGAAGTCGTATCGAGTAGCACCATGATGTATCGAATCGAATGGTATCGTGGTTTATTTACTTATTATATAACTATACTTGAGGTATGTATGTATAGGTATATATAAATGCTACCAAGATCCGACTGGAATCCCGCGTGTACATGGTGTGTTGTATGTGCTTACCTAGGTTACTATTCTATGAATATTGTATGTTGCGTGTATGCGTCGAGTATGCGATGACACGATCTAGAAACGGAGCCAACCTGAAGTGCTATTGATACATAGAGGTAAGCAACATCAATACATACGTTTTAAAAACTTAATATAGGTAATCCAAGAACCCCGACGGCTGCTGCCCTTCGTAAAGTTCAAACACCATCAAACAACGAGAACCTTAACCGGCGGATAGCCGGTCGAAGTCTAAAAACCGGATATCGACGCCGTTCGAAATAAAAGTAGAGTTAAAGCCCGTCTATATAATCAGCTAATGCGGACTCAACGTCCCGACGTCTCGGAAACCCATGCGGGAACTCAATCGCACGTATGTACAGACGTAGCGGACGCTAGATCAAGCAATTAGGTTCGACCCGTTTTCCGCCGTACGGGATTGTGACGACATATCAACAACAGCACTTATAAGTGATAGGGACGACTTTTGCATCAATGAGTATATACTTTAATTTTGCAGAATCGAAGAAGCTGGTATTACGAAGCTGTATACAAAGATTCACACTCTCCTTTAATTTCTCTCAGCTACGTAGGACTCGCGTCGTAGAGCTTCCTTCCCCTTTCAGTGCTCGGCCGAGTCTATCTGCCGCCTCTAACCAGAGCTGCTGCAATTAGACAACTAACTTTGCGCGTGGTCTCGTGGGACTACGTGGTCCTCCTCGCCTTCTTCTAGTACACGTCGTAACTTGAAAATACAGGGGATATTTTTCTATTCCTCGTGGATATCGGCTTATGAAAATGCGGGCAACGTAATGACGTGATGCCATGCGAATGAATACCTTCAACCCTAACGCCGGCGGGACCAAAACAATGCCGCATAATCAATAGGAGACGAGATTGTTATTGGGATAACGTATATTGTCCCCGCTTAGAAGTTAGATGCAGCGTTTGTTTGCGTCGGCGCGTGGTAGCTCTCGAGGGTGCTCTGGAATGGGCTGCGGCCGGCGGTACTACCGCTAGGTTCCGACTTCTCTGCGGTTCCGGGACCTCCGAATCCATCACCGTAGCTGACCAGTTCCTCGTTCTCTTCCTGGCTTCGCCTGTTGTTACGAAGTCTCCAGAATAGTACACCCGCAGCTGCCAGGACGATCGCGCCACCAACACCGACACAAACACCAATGATCGTATTTCTAACTTGTGGGCTCATTCCAGATTCCCTGTCGTCGCCGCTGGTATCAGCAACAGGAGAAGGTGTCGACACGATAATGCTAGAAGATGAGCTGACATGGGTCTGCCCGGCTGCGTCAGTAGAAGTAATTACTGTGATGAAAGTAGACGTAACAGGTGGTGGCGTGGTGCGAGGAACTTCGGTTGTGTCATCGCTGCTGTTGTCGCCACTGCCGCCATTGCCATCGCTGGATGTCTCCGAGGGAGTCGGGGCCGCGGTCGTAGGGGTTGTGCGAGCCGTAGTTGGCGGAGGCGTCGTCGCCGTTGTTCCTCCCGTAGTCGGGGTTGTGTTGTCGGCCGTCGTAGGCGTTGGGGTAGATGCATCACTTGTTGTAGGAGTTGGAGTGGATTCATCAGAGGTAGTTGGGGTAGGGGTATTAGACGTAGTTGCCGCGGGAGTTGATGTCGTCGAATCATCTGTTGCATCATCACTGGATGTGGTTGGATCGGCAGCGGATGCATCGGTGGTAGAGTCAGCGGTGAGATCAGGACCAATTGAGATGATGTCCGCCCTGACCGCGAGTTGACCTGCGCCGGCGTGCTGATTATCGAGCCAAGCTACTCCAGTGACAGCGGTCACTGAGAGTGCCGCCATCATTAGATGGATAAGTCGCGTTGAATGCATGGCGACTAGTAAAGTATAATAATACTATAATACTGGAATGGGTCGAAAATGGGTGGAAGGGTGGGAAACTAATGGGTGTATCCGTCCCTCCCCTTTTGAAGGTTTTATTCGAGATGAAGTTTAATGTGTCCACGTGGATGGGCGATGGGAATATTAATTTTAAATCTGAAGCACGGTTTGCCTGTCAGACCCAGTTGTTTCGTTGTCGGATATTCACTCAACGCGAAATGCTGTACTGTGTTATCCGAACGTTGCGCGGATAATAGGGAATTGGGTAAAAGAGCGTAAGGTGTAGAGGCAGAGTTGAAAACCTCGGGGAAAAAGAAGGAAAATGTAATGATGGATTAGGAATGGATATAATAGGGTGATGAGAGAGAGAAACGAATGACCAAAGTAAGGACCAGATTAAGGATGCGAAGAATCTGACGGAGAGCCTGGAAAGAAAGTGAGGTGCGGGTAACTGGAGAAAGTATGGTTACATCTGGTTCGTATTTGCACAAAGATGCGTAAAGTGAGGGTTCGCGCATAAATTTTTACTCAAAGACCCAATCATAGCTTGATAAAGGAAAGGGGCGGGTGGGGCCGATGATGGTGGAGTTGATATGTACCTAGGTTTCTTAGACAACTGGGTCATGTTGTCTGCAGGCTCTATGTAATTGATGTACATCCTTTTCAGGGTATCGTGACAAAATCGTACTATGGTACTGAGGTGCCACTTTGTACATAGACGTACATGCATTAGTGAGGTAGTTGATCAACTTTACTTTCAAGTCTCTATGTTCGTGGTGTATCTACTGATTTCTATTAAGCTCGGCATCCGAACCGGTTGATTGCCTTTTTTCTTGTTGGTCATTTTTTATAGGTTGAGCTAGTAAGACCTCTCCCTTACGAGCCCGGATCAGCCGAATTTAAGATGTGTTTGCGAAGGTACCTAAAGTATGCGCTTAAGGTACTGTATCTGACGCGCCGCCTCCAATCTGAATGTAGTTACAGATTACATATCTGCAACTTTGACTAAAAATAGGGTCTGCTTTTAACTTCTTCGATGTCGATATATACTATTTACCATTTCGACCTTCCATATATTAATGGCAATAAATAATTGTTACTGAATTGTACACTATAAAAACATTGTTCGTTGACCAAATCTACCTCGTCCTTGGAAGATGTCCTGCCTAATTGTTGTACTTGCATATAATGTACTTAAAGCATGCACATGACATGATGCACATGAACATTTCGTAGCGCTATTTTGTTAGCGACTGGAGTGATCATCAGGGTCTAACTAGAATGGATTAGGACTTGCCCTGAATCCGAAAATCAGCAGCCACACAGCCACATATGCAAAGCAGGAGGCCCGCTGGCCAAGACGGAATTCAATACAATGCATTCATTCAATTGATTTATTCAAGCAGTCAAGATGTATGTAAGCTGCAAGTTACGATGAATGTCGATCGGACAACGTTGCATGCTGGGATACTTGTCAGACCATGATGAATAACGCACAGAGCTTTTCATAGGCTATTAGAGTCTTACAATCAAGCTTAACCCAACGATCGACTCAATATGAACCAGTTCGCAACCATTGAATTTCCCTTATGATGACGAACCTCAAACGCTTGCGATGGATTCTATTCGCAACGCAAACTCCTAGGTGTTTCGAAACACAGTCCCGCAATGGTTTCTTCCCGGACGCCTAACCGCCAATTGCGCTGCAATCTACATGTGACGGATGCGATTTTGACAATTCTGACATTCTCAATTGAGGATAATCCTACTAGTATACCGCGCTATTTGTGGAATTAGCTGCTTGGTTGGGTAGAGCCTGGAGATTCCAACGACCCTCCTGCCCTTTTTTTAGTGTACAGGGCCCCTTGGGATCTGCACAATTGAAGAATGCGGGGGGTCGCGCGCCTCGCGTTGTAGAAAACGTTGAATTGAAGTGGCTTGATCAGACCAGTCTAGGTTAGGCAATATTAGGCCGTGGCATCTAGCCGACAGGTCCTCGGCCGTCCAGCCCCGTGTCTGGAATCCGGGTCCGTTTTATATCTAGCGCATCGCTAACCGCTAACCTCCAGAAGGATTGAGTTTCGGCCCCTAAAATTGTCTTGTCTTAGGTTTGGTGATACCCTCTATTTTTAGATGACAATTTTTTGTCTTACTGGTCCTTTCAGTTGTTTCTATTTACCCCACGTCGTTGATACGGTTGAAGAAAGATTAGTTATATGTTATTGAAGGGTTGAACGCGTGTAATGAATATAACTACGTCTCTATATTAGTGTTGTAGTTGTGTTTGTCCTGTGCTTGCCATCTGCTATTCTCTAACTAATACTATTTGAATATTGACTGCTTATACTAAGTCCTACTAATTAGTAGGGACTCTTATATGACTAATGGTCCTATTTAAATGTAAAATATATCTTCATGTTGCTTGTCTTTAAAATCATAGTAAAAAGGGTAAACTAGAAGTGTTAGCACCTTATCCTACCTATGCTTTAACTGTATAACTAACGTTACCTACCTACCTACCTGAGGTACCTAGGTAAGTAAACCTCGAAAGACCTCAGTTATTCCCGACCTCCTGGGCCGTTAAGAAATATGGAGGCAGCCTTTTCTAAATATTTTTAAGTGCTTTCTCATAATGTATTGTTAACTGGATTGCTGTCAGGGGTGACGTTCCGAGTAAAACCCAACTGGTCAATTACGAAATGGAGACAATATACGCTGCCACTTAATGTCGATAATCATTCTGCTAACTAGACTATGACTCGCGCACCCCTTCGCAATTCTGGGGCATTGTACGTGACCTATGGCGACACATTCTTTTGACCAACATATGCGTGGATGACGATGGCTCGTCGAGTGGTTATCTAATTATAGATATAGACTCTTGGGCCGCCGAACCTTACGTCACTTGGGACGCACTTAAAGATGAAGACATCTGAATAGCTTCTTGTAACGGAGAAAATCCACATTACGTCAATAAGGGACCTACTTACTATGTACATAGGTAGTTTTCAAGATATCAACTATTCCCTAATTGAATTGGTGTTTATGCCTCGGCATTGGCATTAATATTCCCCTGTTGTGAATAGATATGCGCCAGCCCTATGTGATACCTCAAAAACTTAAGAGTTGTCTAACCACATTAAATCTGCCCTGCAGCTTATGGTCCGGTTCTGTGGTCGTATGCTGTGAGCTCATATAAGTGGACTTGATTTCAGTCTCGATTCCGTTCTCTTTGTTGTTACAAGACTGAGCTGGCAAGAGGTAGATACCTTAGAAATCGTACACGTGTTTTTTTTTTTTTTTTTTTTTTTTTTTTTTTTTTGTATGTATTGCAAATTGACTAGTATGACCGAGCTGTAAATGCTACCCTAAGTACTTAAGGTACACTACGTATAAGCAGGTATAGTATGGTGGAAGCCATCACTCTTGAGAGTACCTATATCTATTCAGAGGGTTAGGAAGCTTGCGTCATCTTAGGACGATTTAGGTGTATTAATGCCACTAAGTAGAGGTAGATAAGGTTTAGTGTATTGTGCTGATAATTCCTAGACATGCTTGTGCTAGTTAGTTGGTGTATAGTTAAAGATGGAAAGAAGGGACGGAATGGCCGTTGATACATACATGTAGTAGAACGAATAGGTACGTTTAGCTAATAGGTGGCAGCAAAGTGGCAGGAGTGGATATTCCAACGCGATGGGAAGGCCCATTATTAAATTAATGGACGAGGGGAAGGCGCTATGCGAGTCCACAACGCGAATTTGGGCTGATAAAATGGCGTTAAAAAATACATGATGCACGGACCTTTTATACTATAGATATAGGCGGAAGCACTTGCCGATTACATGTATCTTTCATCGTATCCCGTTTAGCACTAGGCTAGATCTAAATAGCAATTTCCATGAACAGGCAATCCTAGACAATCTTTTTGAACAACTTGGGTTTTTCTCGCAACCAAGGGGCATCAGCTTGCAGCATTTCCGTCCGAAGCTCTCCATCGCGTCTTTTATTATCGAGTCCATCTTATGTAAAATCACTCCTTCTTGGATTCAAGGCGGATAAGTGACAGGCAAGGCGAAACCGATGGAGAGTTGCGTATTTTTACCATTCTTTTAATATATTTTCTCTTCCGCTCTTTTCTTCTTCCCGATCGCCTCGGTGAGCCCTCTTTTTATTTTATTTCTTTTCCTACAAGGACGCGTCGCGACAATCCCCACGCTGTCTACATAGTACCGCAACTAGTACCGCAACTTTTACCCCTTAGTTGGCCCACGACCCGATTCCAATTATCGTCGGGCCACGAAGGAGGTGCACGGATATACGTGAGAGAGCTAGTAGTCTGGAGATCTAGCAGCAGGCGACCCATGCCTTGTCTGCGCTGATCTCGTCGTGGTATGTCTTGACTCCGCCTATCTTCTCGTGTCTATCTTTTCTTGATTCCTGAGACATCAGAATCGAGGGCTAACTTATACCTCGGTTCAGCCCCCCCAAAGACGTATTCTTCAAACCCGTCAACCCCTCCTCGTGCTTTTGCACAGGACGGCACTCGAGCCTCGCTATCTCGTACTTATTCAGCGACGTCGTCATCCCCCGTCTCGAGTGCGTCAACTATCGACGACGACGGTGAATCGTCTCCGGTGCTCCCGCCGCTTCGAGCACCGACACTGCCGGGTCGGGCATCCGAATATCTTCGGACGCCGCCATCTAATCGTAGTTCCGGAGACGATAGAGAGTTTGTCACAGCCAGCTGGGGTTCACCGTACCCCCAAGCCGATAGTAGCCACCTGCGTCGACTGAGCTTCAGCAGTGAGACATCGGAAGAATCTCCGCTGCACCAGCTAGAGATTAATACACCTTTTTTGCGTCCGGCTCCATTGACTATAGTAACCGAGCTAGACCGTCCCTCGACTTCCCTGTCCGGAAGCGCTGCTGTACTTGCGAATCGTGCTCGGCGCCCCTTGCGCGGCCTTACGGAGGATTGGATCCGTCAGCATACCACCGAGGACCTTTCTTCTGAACACCGCCATTGGCTTAGTGACGGAACTGACGATAGTGAGCACTCTTCATTGAGAAGCTCCATTTTGAGCGAAGAGGCGAGTTGGTTTGAGGAGGCAGATCCCAGGACCCCACGAGCTGACCGGCGAGCTACCCTTCATCCGTCTCGAGCCTCTAGTCAAGCGTCTTGGCATTTTCCGAGACAGCGTTCTAGCAACGAAACTCTAAAGCAAGCTGCTTTGAACCGGCGCGTTACTAGCGGGACCGCAAGCATGGACGCGCTTGAGGTGGAGAAAGCTAGTCAAGATGCCGCCAGCATCCACACCATAGATTCTATCTCGGAATCGGTACCGAGAGCAGATACTCCTAGAAGCGACCAGCCGAATTGGAACAATTCGAATCCAGTTGCGCCTACTACTCCGATTAAATCGATTAAACAGGTCGTAGGGCGCACGCCCCCACCCAAGAAAAAAGTGCCCTGGAAAGGAAAGAATATCCTAGTTTGCCTACCATGGGACGAGGAGCGAGGCCGACCCGGGAAAGCACCGGTCCCTCTAAATGCTGCTGAAGTGAAAGAAATGTGGCGCTCCTGGGAAGAGTTGGGTTACGATATTCGTGGGTTTGACTTGGAAGGACGTCATGCTCCTCTGGATCCCCTAGAAAGCTATTCCCAGAGCAGGGATGAGTGGCCTAATTCGGACGATATTGTCAATGAGCGTTCCCAGCACACGTATCAGGTGACGCT